CAATAGTAGTATTAGTAGTGATGGTAATAATAGTAGTAATATCAATAGTAGTATTAGTAGTGATGGTAATAATAGTAGTAATATCAATAGTAGTATTAGTAGTGATGGTAATAATAGTAATAATATTAGTAGTAGTAGTATTAGTAGTGATGGTAATAATAGTAGTAATACTAGTAGTGGTAGTAGTGTTTCACAACAAGTACACAAATCACATCCAGATGCATACCATACAAGTAGAATTTTAGATGAAGAGATTGCCAAATATAAAAGGTTAAAAAGTTATACAAGTAATGAAAATAATCTTGATTATAACAAAGGTGAATAAAAATTTCATTATTAATTAATTGGAATTACTATTGGTTACTAATGATATTTTTAATAAACATTAGATTCTAGTAATAATAGTAAAAGAAGAAAGGTTGATGAATGACTAATTTAATCTCCATTAAAAATTTATTTGTTACGACCATTTATTTTTTTTTTTATTCTTATTTGTTTAAAGCTAAATTATAATAATATTTTAATAAAGTTTTCTGATTCTTGTTAAATGGTGACATCGCCAATTGTGGCTCAACTTTCAGGCTACCCTTGTCAATTAATTGCATCAAATCGGTGCTTGTCAATTAATTAGTTTAAGAATTTACTTTGATTGGTTCTCGCTTACTGCTTCTTTCTTGCGCCTAGAGAGCTTCGATGAATCTGTAAGCACACTTAATGGTACCGAATAACTGTAAATAAATGAAGATATCCCTTTTACAAAGCTCAAGAGCTTCTACAAAATTACTTATTTCAGTTGTTTATTTTTATCTACCGATTTTAGTTTATTTACAGACAATTTATGTTTACGATTACAATAACACTACCAGTATTTCCGATCAACCTTTAGACTGACTGTTGCTAAAACTCACTAGTTAACCAGCATTAGTACTTACTAAAGCAAATAATGTTACTAATCGTTGTTAACACTCGCCACTTAATCCTGATATTTGTTTACTTACCAAGACAAAACCAAGACACCCCGCTTGTTGTTTTTATAAAGGCGCTTTAAAACAACAATTTTTAAGGATTAATTTATCTATGATTCTATCAGGGTCTTATTTTATTAGTCAAATTGATTCCCTCTCAAAAAAATAATAATATGAATAAATATCGAATAATTAAATTATCGCAACCCCATAATATATTAAGTATGTGAAATCTTAGTTTCAAACTAATTGTTGAGTTTCGAATTAATAGAACATTTGAATATTAGAACTTCTACACAACAAAAAGATCAAGGCTTCTGTGAATTTACTTATTTAATTGAACAATTAGAGCTTTTAATAGTAATAGAAGGAAAATGGAAAACAATTACAGTATTGATAATGATAAATAAGGCTTAGAGTTACTTTTAATATAAATCTTCCGCTTGAATAATAATGATAAAATTAGTTAATAAAGATTTTTTTATAACAAGTAATACATAAATCACACGATTTCCTTTAATCCCACCCACACTTTGTTGTTTTTTTCAACAAGTATTTAAAATGACGCTTTGTTTTAATTGCAATCTTCTTCAAAAGAAAAAACCAAGTTTAGACGGTTATATTAGACATTACAACGGAGTTTCAATCCTACTCTCTTTAATTCTGATTTTTTTGTTGATTTTTTAACCAATATATACTATCTAATTAACTCAACGAATTATAATTACAAAATTCATTGAAACGCGTTTTTAAATGCAATTTTCTTATTCGCTCCATCTTATAAAAATTATACGGAAAAATGAACTTTTCCGTGCCTAAACACACGAAAAGGGTACAGTGTAAATTTTTCTACGTATTTTCCGTGTTAAAATGCATTTTTCATGTACGAAACTATACTAGTCATAATATGGAAAAATGTCCGCAAAACTATTCCGTGCTGTTTTCATATTTTGCATGTTTCATATCAAAAATGCGTTTTTCTAATCAAAATATGTTTTTCTCGTACGTATTCATCCTGCATCTATTCGATGCTTATCCTTTACATAGTTTTTTACAGGAACATGGATTTTTTGAAATGAAGTTTGACTGTATTTACCTCATCTAGTTATAAGCACATTTTATCTTTAAACTCTATCAAGTTTTAATTTAAATTTAAAAATCCATCTTGAATTGAATCGAATCCAATTGAATCCGGTTTTTTTGAATTTGAATCATGATTCGGTTTGATCAAAACAATCGAATCGAAACGTTTTAAAATCCGACTCGATTCATTCAGTGCCTTAGTTCTTTTAGTTCTTACTACTCCTGCCACCTCTACCACTACTATTATTATTGACAACGTTATTTCGGCTATTTTCACCACCTGTTTTATATCTTGCAAAAATCTTTCATAGGAAAATTTGTGTCGTGTATACACACACCCGGACGCTTGTTTTCTATTTTTAATTTGACCCTAAACTTCAATAGGTAGGGTGGGGGTAGGCATTTACGTCAATTGGGTTACTCAAAGATGTTACTTTAAAGATCTATCCAAAACTTTCCAGATCGTCAAAAATATATTTTTTTATTGTTGATAAATAATAAAAAATAAATATACTTTAAAAAAAAAATTAAAGGTAATATTCATGTTTATTTATTATTGTTATTACATTCACTCGATCGACACATCCATTTATCCATTGATTATTATTATATATTTAATCTAGCTCGCTAAAAAATGAGAGCAAAGTGGAAGAAAAAGAGAACTAGACGTCTTAAACGTAAAAGAAGAAAAATGAGAGCTCGTTCTAAAGTACTTATATCAACATTACTTTCTTTTATTATTTACTAATTATATTTTATCAATTAATTAATAATTATCATTTACTTTCTTTTTTCTCTCACAATTAAAATTTTTACAGTAAAATGTTATTACCATTTCCATTATTATTAAAAGTGGTTTTATCATATCAGAGGTTTTTTTCAATTAATATTATCACAATTTTATGTTTTCAAAAAATAAACTTTTTATTTTTCTACATTTTTTAATTTATCAGATAAAACTTCATAGAATTTTTGTTTATCCTTTAAATCATAAGATGGATTTTGTCCTATTAATGAGGATACAGTTTCAGAAAGTATTTTAGAATTTAACGTTTTCCCCAAATATCTAGTGTAATCGCCATGTTTAATTTCTAACAATTCTAATGATTCATCAGCATCCCCCGCAATTAATTCATTTTCTTTTTGTATCATCAAGGAGAAATCTGGTGTAATGGTTTGATATCCATCCCAATTAATGTCTTCCACTACAAAATCTCTTGCTTTTACCATTTCATGTCTTTTTTTATTGATACTTGGTTGTAACTGTGGTCTTTCATTGTTCTTTCGCATTTGGCTTTCTTGTCGTCGCCTTCGAGCATCCTCATTCACATGAATATAACGTTGTCCTTTGGTTTTCTTTTGATCATTACCATCATTTTTAGTAGATCCAAAATATTTTTTTAAAGGATCAATAGTTTCCTCCACCAAATACTCGATATCATTATTAGGCAACATGCTTTGAAAAGCCTTTTGTTTTTTCTGGTACGTAAAAGATGTCGCCTCCTTATCCATCGTCGCAACATCCTCAATCGAATCATCAAATTGGCCAGGTTGTGGTTTTCTCATCCTTGTCACTTCACCATCACCATCACCATCACTTAATTTTTTTGATTCTTGCAGTTTTCTTCGAAGTTTTTGTAGTAAACTTAGATCTCTATTTCCACCATTATCATAATTAGTTTTATTATAATTGGTAGTAGGGTTATTGGCCGATTTGGTAGCAGTCGCATTTGTTTCATCAATTTCAAAAATTTTACCACGAAAAGTTATAGCACTAGAGCTACCCCTACCAATCCCAGATTGTAAAGTAGAATTTAATCTTGTGTTTAATGGTAGTTTACTGCTATGTGATGGATTTTGGATAAACGGTCGAAACATATCATATATTTTATTATATATCAATTGCTGCTGGTTAATAATTTATTTGTACTAAATTTTATCAAGGGAAAATCTTTTTTTTTACCACCACAGTGAAAATATATTTTTCGTCCTTCATTAAAAACAATGTGGATTTTCATTCCTCAAAAAAATTAACAATGCATCTTTTCAATCATTTAATAACGAAAAAGTTGATAATAGTGAGTGGAAATTTTTTTTTGTATATTTTTTTTTTTTAATTAAAAATTATGACTAAATAATTTTTGTCACATTTATGAATTTCAGCGTTCTTCTTCACCTCTAATATTTAGATCAAATAAAACCTTCTACAAGCCAATAATAACATTGAATCAAAGAAAATTTTCATTATATAAAAATCATGATTATAAATTATTTCGAGACTTTATGTATAATTCTGAAGTAATCGATGCATTAAAATCAAACAAGCCAATTGTAGCATTAGAGTCTACCATTATAAGTCATGGTTGGTAAAGAATTACGAGTCACACATAAATAATAGGTGTAAATTTAGGAAAATTGTTTTATATAGTTTAATTGAAATATAGGAATGCCTTACCCACAAAACTTGGAAACTGCGATTATGATAGAAAATATAATACGTGATCATAAATGTGTTCCTGCCACAATTGCTGTTTTAGATGGTATAGTTCACGTAGGTAAGATTTAATCGTCACATTTCTATTTTATTTTTCTGTTACAAGTGCTTAAAATGACAAACATGATTGATTTTTGTTATTTAGGTTTGACAAAGGATGAATTAGAGAAATTGGCAAAGTTGGGTCATCAAGCTAGAAAATGTTCAAGGAGAGATCTTGCTTTTGTTACATCGCAGGTTTCGATGAAATAATGATAAATTCTTTTACGATGTTATTCTTCCTCATACACACATATATAATTATTGGGATATGGATATCGTTGATATTTTTCTAGGGATTAACAGGAGCAACAACAGTCTCTGGAACAATGGTGATTGCACACAGAGCAGGAATAAAAGTATTTGTCACAGGGGGTATTGGAGGTGTTCACAGAGATGGAGAAAATAGTATGCATTTTTTTTATTTAAATACAATTATTAATAGCATAATTATCATCATCATTTTATTATTAGTATATTTAATAATATTGATAAATATATAGCAATGGACATAAGTGCTGATCTGATAGAATTGAGTAGAACACCTGTTGCTGTTGTATGTGCAGGTGTTAAATCAATCCTGGATATTGAAAAAACTTTGGAATATTTGGTTAGATGATGATGTTATTATTATTTGGATGAATTTATGTAATCATAATCACCACCATCTAATCATTACAAGAATATTATCGTTAGGAAACTCAAGGTGTTACTGTGGCAACTTTTGGAGAAACAGATGATTTTCCGGCATTTTTTACGCCAAAGAGTGGCTTAAAGGTGATAACAATGATATTGATATTGTTGGTAAAAAAAAAATAGCTTTGTTTTTGAGTGGCCTGATTTGATGTTGATTTGATTATAGAGTCCATCACATTTGAAAACAATTGAAGATTGTGCATCATTAATATGTAAGCTTTACTGATTAATCAATTAATAATAATACTATTAATATCATTATGATTATTTTAATTTCTTTATATAATTATTTGATTATGATTTAGATGCAAATTCAAGACTTAAACTTGAAAGTGGTATGCTAATTGCTGTTCCAGTACCAGAACATGAATCAGCTGACGCAAATAAAATACAGGTGGCAATTGATCAATCATTGAGGGAAACGTTGTATGTAAAAAAATTTGAAGCATAATTGATCCATTAATCATTAACATAATTATAATTAATCTTTTGTATATGCTTTTAAATTTTAAGTGACAAAAGAATTCATGGTAAAGATGTTACCCCATTTTTACTTAAAAGAGTTAATGAGATTACTAAAGGTGATTCATTAAAATCAAGTAAGGGAAAAAATCTTCTATTAATTGTTGTTTAACTCCTTAATAAATATAAATATAAAATATAAACGTAAAATAATTTTTTTTTTAATAAAGATATTGCTTTAATAAAGAATAATGCAAAAGTTGGAAGTCAAATTTCTATGTGTCTTTCACAACTCAATTATGAAAAAATTAATGTATATTTAAGATATTAAATAATTTATTAATTAATTAATTTGAATAAAACTTTAATACACACATGTATACGCTATTCAATAGAAGTCATCATCATCTATTTCTAATCTTAACAACAACAGAAATAGTAATGAGTTGATTGTAGTGGGAGGAATTATAATGGATATAATATCAAAATCGTCAACATCAAAATCATTATCAACATTACTTTATTCCTCTTCACCTGGTGTTATAAAACAATCTATTGGTGGTGTTGGTAGAAATATTGTAGAGGCATGTTACAAGTTAGGATTAAACCCTACTTTTGTATCTACAATTGGTGACGATTTATTTGGTAGATGGATATTAGAAAATTTTAAAAAAGTTGGAGTTGTAAGCATTAAATATTGTTTAAATATTATCATTTGTGATTCATTAATATTATAATTAATTACTTTATTAACAAAATATTTTTTTATTTTATTTAAAGTCAACTAATAACATAAAGATTTTAAATGATAGTTCAACTGCTATTTATAGTGCCATACATGATTCCAGCGGAGAATTATTTTGTGCCATTGCTGATATGAAAATATTTGATAAGATTTCTTATAATCAAGTAAATACATTATTATTATTCTGATATTATGATATTATAATATATCTAACCTCTTAACATATAGGTCAAAGAATTGATTGATCCACACAATCTGCCAAAGTTAATATGTTTTGATGGTAACCCAACAGTAGATTGCATTTATGACATATTAGATTTATGCAAGGAATATAATATACCAGGTATAGTTAATTATTTTATTTACTAAAATAAAATAATGAGATTAAAAATAATAATACTAACATTACATGTTAATTATAAGCATTTTTTGAGCCAACATCAATTTCAAAATCAATTAAAATTTTACAAAATCCAGCTAAATTTAAATCATTGATTTTCACAAACACTTTAAAATATATTTCACCAAATATTCATGAGATTAAAAAAATGTATAGAGTTGCAAATGAAAATGATTGCTTCGATTATTATGATGATGATGAGAGTGGTGGTGATGGTGATTTAGTAAAACAAAGATTTAATAAATTCAATAATTTAATAAATCAAATTAAAGGTTTGATTGACTCCATTCCATTTTTAATTAATTGAAATATTATTAAATATTTGTTTATTAATTAATAATTTTTTTTTTCTCCCAAAAAAATAAATAAATAAAGATGATAAACAAATAGATTTATATGAGAAATTAGACATAGAGTTCCTTAGAGACGTTGAACTTGAAGAGGATGTTTTATTTAATTCCATGAAATTCCTGTCATATATACCTAATATTATAATTAAATTGGGCAAGAGTGGTGTATTATCATTACAATATTTAAGAAGTGATAATAATATTGAAGATGAAAAATTGATCAGATCTATAGATGACTTTGGAATTGAAATATTAATCAAAGATTTAGATTATAGCATCAGGTAATTAATTAATAATCTTGGTGATTATCAAAGAATTAGGAATTAACTTTATCGTTGTTATTATTATTGTTGCAACTTAGGATTAAACATTTTAAACCAAAATTTATACCTCACGATAAAATTATTAATGTTACTGGTGCAGGTGACAGGTAAATAAATAATAATAAATTGAATAAATTTAATAATTACAAATATTAATTAAAAATAATTACTTGTCAATATTACTGTTATTAATAGTTTTGTAGGCGCATTGATATCTGGTTTAACAACTTTCAAAGAATTAAGTAAAGATAATCAATATAATTCTTGGGATAAACTTATTAATTTAGGACAAAAGATTGCTTTATTAAGTCTACAAAGTGATAAATCTGTTAGCGATGAAATAACTCCTGATCTAATAAAAAAAATGTCGATTTGAGGAATAGTTTACCAGAGCAAGCTTTTTGAGGATCGCACGCAAGTATTAATTCATAGACGGTTTCAATAATTGTCAAAGTCAAATTCATAATCAATTATGATTTTTGATTTATATATATTTACAATGTTGAAAGTATGATGATTATTTGGGTAATTAAAGAATATACAGAACGTTAATGAAGTTTACGAATGGCGTGGAGCTCATTGAGCATTTGATGCATTTATTTTTTTATTTTTTTTTTTTGAAATAAAAAAACATACATATATATATATATATTTATATATTTGTAGGATTACTTGAACCTATTGAAAATTTAATAAACTCCAGAATAATAATAACACGGGGGGGGGGTCTACACAAAGATAATCAGCCAGTAACGAGTTAGCTATATACAAAATAAATAAACTTCAGCTTAGGGATGTTAATTGATTATGTGTCCCGTAATTGATTAAAAGTGATCGGTAAAAATTTTATTGTCGATTGAATTGAATTTAAAAATAATAATAATAATATAGAGAAATAGTAGAATTAAATGGAGACATATTTAGTATTTTATTAATGGCAATAAAGTCCATCCGTGCTCAATTTGCCAACCCTGCCTTAAATGCTTTCCTATTGAAGAAAATGAGCCATTAACAATGGTGGCGTGATAATTCCCAATGTTTTCTATTTTAGCCAAAAAATATTTTGCAATTCCTTCTTCAGAAAGATGCGGGGCAACAAATTACTTTGTTGCAAAACAGACTTAGTTCACAGTCTGTTGATCAAGTCCCTTTTTTTGAAAAGAAATAAAAAATTTGTTGATAATCTTTTATAAAATTGAAAATAAAATTTTTATTATTTCGCATTTAACATGTTTATTGTACCATAAAGTATGCCGAAGCTTTCTAGGTACAAGAAAGGGGCAATAGGCAGGATAATTGTTAAATAATTCGTAAATTAATTGACGGGCATTGAATGCAAAAGCTGCAATTAATTGACGAGTGTACCTAAAAAGTTAACTCAAACTCGGCCATAAACGTAAAACAATAATAATAAAAAAAAGCTACTCACAACAAATCGATCGATTATAATTGATTTTTTTCGTGAAAAATCAATCCTACTTCGACTTTTAAACTCTAATTTTACCTTCCGTTCTAACTGTTACACATTCAATGTTTTATTATTTTGGCGCTCATACTAATTCTCTCCATATGCTACGTCAGAAACCATAAACACACTCATTATGTTGTTATTTTATTACATCGCTATTTGATGCTACATTATATCATCCAATCTTTCCTATGAAACTCATTTGTCTTGTCATATATACAATGTGAAATCATTATTTGTGAGCGCACGCTATTATTAAATGAATGAAATCAATGAATAATTGTGATTGTTATGTTTGAATGAAATTTTGGGACACTTCCTGCCTGAATACACAATCTCTAACACTAACACAGCTTTTCTTTTATTATTGTCTTATCTTAGTGAATCCAATCGTTTCTACAAAGCTCAATTGTCCTGTGTTTCATGCATTGAAGAAATTGAAGAATGAAATGATTTCACACTATTTTATCTATTATTTATGAAATAGCATTATTAATGAAATGAATTTAAATGAAATGAGGTAATTTAACAAGTCTCTTGCCTACACACACTCTAACCATCATGAAGAATATTATATTATATTATATTATATGAGATATTTGACCAAAATAATTGAACAACCCAAGCTATTGGTAAGAACAAAAAAAAAAATGAGCAGCCCATTAGCTATACCTGATATTCTGGAAAATGTATTCAGATACCTCCTTACTACAGCCTGGGTTAGAGTAACCTATGATGAATGCATTGCAGGATTTTTACAACAAATCACCTTCTCTTTGTTGTCGATTCATTTTTTTTAATAATGGTTTTCTCAAATATTAACTGATAAGTACAATATGTAAATTAAAGCATGTTACTTTTAACAAAAATATTATTTTGAAACATGATGATTTATTTTTATTCTTTTAAAATTCACATGTAATATTATAGAATCCTTTTCATATTGTAAAATAGTAAATTATAGATCACGGGAAACGAACATATAAATCGGAAATGATTTACATGTATCACAAAGTGAAAATTTGGAAGCGATACTCAACAAGAAATAAACCAGTACAATTTAATAAATGTTACACTAATTAATAAGGAGCACCAATGAAATAAATAGCTCTCGGAAAATAACCCAAATATTGGAGATATAAATATTCCAACATTCTAAAGTGTAACAAATTTAAAGACTAGTGCTGTAAATTATGATGGCAGTAATTGTATTTACGGCATATAAAAAGTGGTTGCAATTACCTTTGCGATCACTTTTGCAACTATACTTTTTCCTTTTTTGGATTATGGCACTAGTCTTTAAACAAATTACAAGTCTCAGAATAATATTTAAACAAAAGAATTTTACATGACTCACATTGACTAGAAATTACTTGAAAATAATTCTACATGGAAGGTTTAAATAATAATTAAGGAATATATTAATTAGTATAAATTAGGACTTCAATGAAGTCGGATAACTAGATGATAGAACCTTTAACATGTATAAATACGTTGTCAATTTCTCTTTCATGTAATAGTCAGTTAATCAGTTAATTCATTCTTAACTTTATCTTGTAATAACAATAATATCTTATTAATAAAATACAAACATAAATATCTCTTAAAAATAATCTTTTGCCAGTGGAATTATCCACCCACTTCCAAAACCATATAAACTTTTTGCTCTCAATGAATTATTAATTAATTACTATCTTACCAGAGGACACCTTTGATAAGTATAGTTGTATGTGTGTATTTTCTTTTAATTTTATTTTCTCTATTTTTATTTAGATTAGGTCAACACCTAAATAGTGGAAATCCTAGCTAGGTGAGGTCAGTTAAGAGACTGAACCATAAATATAATAACAAATGTATAAAGTATCATAGTGGATACTTAAGATATTATAAATATCATTGAGATGTGCCAGCTCAGGCAGATAACAAAAAACTGCCAAGAAAACGTTACCAGAAGGAAAGTAAGGGAACTTGCCCTATAAATAATTAAATAGCTTGAGTGCTATAGTGAGAGAAAATAGTCAAAGAATTACATAATTGGATACTGTCATAAAACAAAATAAATAATAATTTAATCAAATCCAAGAGATTTGTGTGAGACTCAGATTTTGATCTCACAATATATTCTTTACAACTGGTACAATTTTCTATGTTAATTCCTTTCAAAAAAATATTCTATTGATGTAAATGAAAAATTATAGCTAAAAATGTAATAATAATACCACCACCACTGCCTATTAAACCTATATCAGATTATTACAATTAAAGATTGTTCAGCAAATAGATTTTGAGATAAATATACTTTGAATATTATTATACTACTGAACTGATTTCATTCACAAAAGATTTAATGATGCAGTTTTCTGGATTAACTCATTTAATGAATGACTTGTATAGAATGATTCTTGGATGATGTTCATTATCTAACGAATGGGGCATACTGCAACAAAATCAGACAAAGTGAACATTGGTATTATCAAAAATTTCAGGGATCAAACTTTTTTTTTTTTAACTTGAATTTTGATGTAAGGAAAAAGTGTTTCCTTACAAGACTTTTTAAAGAGTCATCATCCTGTCAAGTGTTTCTTTTAATCTAGTTGTTGTGTAAATCGATTTCAGCTAGGGCTGTAAATGTTTTCCTGACTTGTCTTTTGATCCTACAAGCCAACATCAGGAAATCATTAAATTTGTGTAAATATTATATATTTTTTTGGGGGATAAATTGATTTGGTTCTATTTATATTTGTTATTTCAAATACCAAATAACATGGAATCTGATTAGAACTTGAAGATAATTTTATAAACCTCTGTGATTTCATGAACACATCAAATAACAGAAAAATATGCTAAGTTTATCATTTAATTTATTTATTTGCAAATATACAATTTTTATTTATTACCATGTGTAGTTTGTTTTTCTAGTAAATAATTTTTCTTTTCCAGCTTCTATATTTTGAACAAAATGTTCAAAATATTCTATATGTGAATTTAATGATATTTTCTCATAACCTTTTAGGAACAAAAATATAAATAAACAAATGATGTTATATACAATATATTTTTATATTTTTTCTAATTTAATCACCTACAAT